GCGGCGAATCGACGTCGACGAACAACGAAGGAAATCTTAACTTAACACGCGGATAACTAATTTTCGCGTCGTCGGCGCACTCAGTTACACACGCCAGTCTGACGCGACGCGACGATAATTCATATCGAATTACGTGGAGGCCAACAATTTAGCGGCTGCGGTAACGTGATGCTGATGATGATACGGCGCCTCCTGGCTACCGTAGTAGGTCTGCTGTTGGTGCTCGTTGGTCGCCACCCCGAGCTGATGGGGATGTTGGTAATAGGAGGAATAGGGCTGACCGACGATGCCGTCGCAGCTTCGCGGTTCCGTCTTCACGGTGGCCACGCTTCCGGTAGCCAAAAGGGACGTGTGCCCGAGGTAGACAGGTCTCTCCGTCGAGCTGGACGCGCCGCCACTCGACGACTTTGATACCTCCATCTGATGCTGCTGCTGCTGCTGCTGCTGCTGCTGCTGCTGTTGTTGCTGCTGTTGTTGCTGTTGCTGGCTGCTCTTTAGTTCTGCGAACGGAACCGTGTCGATCGGTGAAAGAGCGAAGCGAGGAGGAGAAGGAGGCGAGGTTCGGCGCTGGTTACCCGTAGACGGAGAGGAAGCGGTAGAAACGGTGGCAGTGTCGTGTTCTACGGTAGAGGATCTGGCGTTCGGTTCCGGCGTCTTCTTCGGCTTCCGTTTTCGCGTCTGAATGCCGTCTTTTCGCATGGCCAGCGGTCTGTTGACACCGTGGAGCTTAAAGTAGAGGCCACAGGCGTTACAGACGGGCTCGCCCTCGTTGTTACGCCTCCAGAGGGTGGTGGTGCGGGTGCCGCAGTTCGTGCAGCACAGTCCCAGCCGTCTGGTCGCCGTCTGAAATTCCAACATCCACTCGGATTCGTGGACCGTGTGATCTCGCGACTAACAACGCGATAACAGAGAGAGGGTGTATCGTGGGCATCGACTTACCAGCCGTTTCGAGGGCTTGATCAGCGGTCGGTTCATTCCGTTCATCTTGTGATAGAGTCCGCACGCGTTGCAGAGATAATGTCCGGTGCCATCTCTCCTCCAAAGCGGCGTCGATATGGCACCGCAATTCACGCACTCGCGCCCCTCGCCGAATTGAAAGTCCATCGCGGTGTCTGGAATAAGCGAGAAACGGATTGGCCGCACTTGTTGCGCGAGAACGCGCGGAGAAATATCGGCCGGGCACTCGACCGCGCGCTCTGCACAGAGATCGTTTCAAAGAAGCGCCGCTATCTGTTATCCGTGGCAGATGGCCCGCCGACCACCGCAGCCACTTCTCCGCCAGGAAAGGAGCTTTTTTTTCCACCACTTATCGCCGCCGCTTTTCCTCCGCTCGCTCTGGTTAACGTCTCTGGTTAACGGCAGCGGTGTGTAGCAGAATAGGAGGGAATACGTACCGTAAGGAGAGGCACGTTGAAATCCAGCTCCGTCGTAGGCTCGCCAGGAGGACATCATGGCGACGTTCTGGGCGTAGAACGGAGCAGCCGCGGCCGCGGCGAGGCTCGAATGAGGGTGGCCGGTGTGCGGATGAGCCGCGTGCGGGTGCGCGTG